AGGGGCAAAGACTTTTCAATTTGCCTTCATAAATGGGCAGGCAGGTATCTCAGTGAGCAAACCTAAATTGATACATGTGCAGTATCTGTATGCAGTGCATGCTTTGTGCAGAGTCTGTGAAACAATTCATGTGCTTTATCAAAACACTGACAAGTCAGTGGCTAATGGGAAGGAAATCCTTGTTAAAACACCAGCTAGAACACTATTTAAAAATATTGCTCCAGACATACAACTCATCCCAGATCCAGCAATTACATTCTGGGTAACTTGGTTGGATACCACTATGTATCATGCAGAAAATTCTTAAACCTTTAGTTTTGTGGTAAATGAACTTGACAGGAATGATGCTTCCTCTATCACAAAATTGCAAGAAATATTTAATGATAAATGAACTAAGGTTGCTAAAAGGGGCCGTGCCATACCTCAAACGGTCAGTTGTTGGCTTCCCACTGCGGCATCCCGGGTTTGATCCCGGGTCTGCTCAAGTGGGATTTGTGGTGGACAAAGTGGAGCTGGGGCAGGTTTTCTCAGAGTACTTCGGTTTCCCCTGCCAATCTTCATTCCTCCAATTGCTCCACAATCACCCTCACCTGTCATCTGGGGCTGGTACAATATGCCAGAAGTGGCTGCAGCACAAGGGACTTAGTCCCACCCCACTAGCATTAAAAAAAAAAAGGTTGCTAAAAACTGACTTGGTCTACACTCAAGCAAATTTCAGTTTTCGGCCCATCTAGAACGAAGCTGGAGAATACAAATTTGTTGTCAGAAACAATAAATGAAATCAATGACAAACTGAACAAAATCAACAACCTGGAAGCTGATGCTGTAAAACAAAACTACATTCATGCTTCAGTAAAAATAAAGAGTTTAAACTCGTGTGTAAGTTTACATGTGTAATAAAAAAGAGAGATCTTGGTGGTTATGAAGGCCTGAAAGATTTGATTGTCAGTACATCATTTATTACAGGTATGCAAGTCTGGCATCTATGATGTAGAATGTACATTTTCTAAGTATTCTCCTAAGATAACCAACACAGATTTACAACACAAACCTTAAAGATGACTTTCATAATTCACTGCAAAATTGTTTCACTTTCTGAGACGCTGCCAAAGTTTAGTGAGTACACTGTGTAATCATGTGTGCTTATGGAGGAAAAGCTTTGGGAAGATAACCTTGGTTGACAGACATACAAAAAGCAATAATATCTAAAGTATAAGATCAACTAATAGTTCATTATTTCTCACAAGATAAAATACATCAGGCTAGGTCCCAACAAAAATATAAGCACCTTTCAAGTGTTTACACTGTACTTCTATACAATCTACGACATGCGGTGGCTTTTCCAATTCTCTGCATGTTGTTCTGGCAACAGTTGTTTTCCCTGAACCAGCAGTCCCTGCAAAACAGTTTTATAACAACTGTAAAAATGCAGAACGCTTTTATAACAATTTAAAAAATATTCTAACAAAATACATTAAATACGATGGTTGGAACTTTAATAGTGGCAACACTGGTGTAGTGACGCTTGCGCAGGGGGTTACAACTTAGAAAGGAGAAAGGGAAACACGGTATGTGCTGCCTCTATGTGTGGATGTAGATTCTACACACAGATCTCGACCAATCAGAGAGCTTACAGAAACCAATTTGAATTCCCGCAATTATATGGGGTAATGTATCGTCATATGCGAATTTTCACTTGATGTGATTGTGAGACGGAAGTAGACATTTGCGAAGGAAGGTACATCTCCATGTTAAACATATTACTTGTGTATATCAATGTTATGCTTACTACCACAAATGAAATTAGAAACATATAGAATTCTTTGAAGCCTGAAATTTTTTAGGTTATCGTGAACTGTCATTTAAACGATATTTGTTTTATGATATGTTCTGGAACTTTCGGTTTATCGTAAAGATTGTCTGCCTCTATGAAGGTTGTGAACGTTGTGAAGCTTGCTGCAAGTACAGTTTTAGTCGCGTCTGTGGGGGAGGGTGTTAGAGAAATGCATGTGGAGTAAAACCATTTTTAGGCAGTCGATTGCTGCATTATATGTGAAGTCGTAATTTTGGCCTGAAGATACTAGAAGAAATAGAATGGGATAATTTCCTGGACATGCCGCGTAGGAGGAGCGTCGTGCTTGTAAGAGAAGGCTTTTTTGCTAAGAAAGCGTCCCACAAACGTGATCCAGGTAGTCAATTGCACAACTTAGTATCTGCTATAAATACTGGTATTTTTTATTAAACTTTCTACCTGACAGTCATAACCTCGAAATTTCGCTCTATTCCATTTCTTGTGGCTTAACCTTTCTACCTGAAAGTTGTCAGTCTTAACCTCAACATTTCTTGCTATTCCATTTCGTGTATTGCATACAATATGCAGAAACTGTATATTGTACAAATTTGTAGCCATGATACTTGTCCACCAGTTGTACTAAAGTTATTCTGTATTCTGTTTAAAGCATTATGTATGGTTGCATGCCAGTTACTGCTCCTGCCTGTTATGACTGCATAAAGACTTAGCATTATCAATGGTAAGAGACATTTATGAATGTAGATGACCTCCAATGGCATGCAAGTTCATATAATTGACTCATTCAGAAATTATTTCAAGGTTATACATGATCTCACACAAGCCTGTTGACACCACAGCCCCACCTGTCCTATAAAATAAAGGAAGTAGGTTTCTAGATTTGTACGACATTATCTGAATTCCAACTGGATTACTGGCTCTCCTGAATGAACATAACCTGAACTCCTTCCAAATCCTTACCTCATCACCACTGATGATCATTTTTCTTTTATAATGCTTTCAATTTTGAGACTGTATGGTGTCTGATTGTAGGTCAACAGATGAATTCCAAAGGAAGCTCTTGTGGTGTAAGGGAGTACCCCAGCATTTGCTTGGAGGGACAAAGGTAAACCAATGAGGTTAGCTGCAGTTCCAGCTAAGGTTCAAACCAAAGACCTCCGAAATACAAGCCTAAAGCATTACATCTAGACCAACATGCTTGGTGTGGTCATATTTCATTCTTATTTAATAATCTGTAGTCACTGCAGCTGAAATAGATCATTATATAACACCAGAATCAACAAACAGCAGTGTGTATGGCAACCACGAAGAAAAACACAATCTGTTTGACATTAAGGAAGTTGGTCTAGAACTGCAAAGGGAACTACATATTATGTTCCAAGTCCCATCTGAAGAACAAATTTATAATACAGATAGCCAAGGCTAGATTAAATTCAGCACTGATGCTTTAGAAACCCGTTTTATAATAAAATATTTATATATTTAATTAATCTCTTTATTTCAGAATCCCTGCAAACCTGTGGCACAGGGCAGGAATTAGAAGGCCTTCAAAATAAGCAGTGGGGTAGCACATTACCTGAATCCAGCACTGAAGATAATGTAAATCCTTTGAAAATGTGGTGGGGTTTTGGTATTTGGGGAGTAAGGTAACAATTACAAATTATATTTATGAAAGAATTATGAGAATATTAAATTCACAGAATGTTTGCTACCAATGAGTACAGAAGCTTTTGTTCTCCCATCTGCTACCTGAAAACAAGACTAAAATATACACAACAGTAATTTTACCTGTAGTTTTGAATGGGTGTGAATTTCACACTGAAACTTAGTCTCTTGTATCAATGGAAAAATGCAGCTTGAGGGTGCTCATGATATTATTAGTACCTAAGAAGTAACGGGAGACTGGAGAAAATGCGGAACAAGGATCTCGTACTCAATACTAGGAAATAACATGGGACATTAGAGGGCATTTAGCAAGCATGGGCGTTACCAGAAATATAACATTTGGGTCAGAGAACTCAAAGAGTTAGCTTTTTAAAGGTCTTTGGACAAGTGAACTACTAAAATGGCTCTTAAAGGTGTAGAGTGGGTCAGTGTGCACTGGATTGAGTACTGTGAAAAGAGCAATGAACCTTTCGCTTCCGTAAAGTGCTGGGAATTTATCAAGCAGCTGAAAGACCTCTGGCTTCTACTGGACCTCTGCTCCATGCAGTCTATATAACTTACAGTGATCTATTTTCTGTCGAAGCTTATCACCTTCAACATCCAATGCCAAACAAAACTGCTCCACATTATCCATGTAAATCAGTTATTGTGACTAATGCCTCCAGTTATGGTCTTAGCAACCTTCCTGACCTCTGTCCATTTCTGAGATTGGTGACCTATGACACTGGCCCCATTATCTCCAATGATGAATAGCCTACAGAAGGAAATTACATTGCATGGTCTCTGAACCTTGGTGGTGAGGCAGGGTTTTCTTCTTATCCACTAAGGATTTACCTTATCAGAGATAACAGAAAGGAAGACATTTTAAAGTATGTGAACCCAAGACCTTTGGTACAGTCTAAAGTACACTCTAAACCCAGTGTTCACTAATGACTCATTCAGACTCATTAAGCAAACAGGCTCAAATAATATTTTTGACTTGTATTTGGGAGGTGGCAATTTTGAATCTTGGCCAATCACCTATCCTGAGGTTTTCCTCTGTCCATCCTAGCAAATTCTGGGATAGTACCTCATTTGGGTATGGCCACTTCTTTCCACATGCTTTACAATCTGACCTACTTATTAACAGAAATGTCTAGATGCTTCCAGGTAAAAATGAGACATAGAAAAATGCATGTGCATTGGAAACGCCAAAATCAGCAATGATTTCTGAACCGTAGAATGGGTACCCAATGTGGAGGAAAGTTGGTACACCACCAACCACAACAGAAATGCATTTTTTTTATTGCAGGTGCAAACCAAATTCTTAATTGCTGAAGAGTGCTTTGATTCCATGGACTAGTCCTCAATAAGTTAATCAGTGCTCAGGCAGTCCAGTATCCACCCCCCCCCCCCCCACAAGTTTCATTCTATTCATAACATGAGACCACCAGTCCCTATCCTGAGCCAGATAAATCCGCTATGCACTGTCTTCATTTAAGAACCATTTAGTTATACCTGAAGCCAGGACAGCACAGTTGGTATAGTGGCTGGAGGACCGAGGGGTCAGAGTTTGAATCCTGGTGGGGTCAAGAATTTTCACTTCATGTTGTCCAGACTGGCTCTGGGGTCCACCCAACGTCCTCTTCACCGGGTATCAGGGGCACTTTCCCCGCAGGTAAAGCTGACCCCTCTCCTCCAGCTAGTGCAGAAGTCAAGAAAATGGATCTATATGAAGGGGGACCCAAAAATAACCGGAACCGACCTGTTGCGCGTGCATGCTTTGTAGTTACGAGTTGTGCTGCTAGGTGGTGTTAGCTGGGGGTCTCCCACGACTGTTAGTGAGCTGGCGTCAGTCTGAGTTAAGTGGTTTGTCTGTGGTGCTCTGTTGTGTGTGTTCCTGTTTCAACCCTTTGGCGATTAGTGAGATGGCGGACCAGAAGGAACAAAGAGTGTGCGTGAAATTTTGCTTTCTGTTAGGGAAAACTGCAGCCGAGACTGTTGGGATGCTTCGGCAAGCCTTTAATGATGATGCTTTGGGGAAATCACAGGTCTACGAGTGGTTTTCCCGTTTCAAATCTGGCAACATGTCAACAGAAGACATGCCACGCCCCGGGCGTCCTTCGACAGGAAGAAATGACGAAAACATTGCCAAAATCAAACGTGCAATTGATGAAGATCGTCGAAAGACCATTGACCAACTTTCTGAGGAAACGAACATCTCATGGAGCACGGTCCAGCGAATTTTAACCGAAGGTTTGCACATGAGACGGGTGTCTGCAAAATTTGTTCCTCGCTTGCTCGGAGATGACCAAAGAGAAAACCGCGTGAATGTTTGCCGCGACTTCAAGAGTGAAGTGCAGAACGATCCAGAATTTCTTAAAAGAATTGTGACTGGCGATGAGTCTTGGTGCTACGGGTACGATCCAGAATCAAAGCAATCATCAAGCCAGTGGAAAACTCCAACTTCACCACGACCGAAGAAAGCGCGTCAAGTGCGATCCAATGTGAAAACAATGTTGATTTGTTTTTTTGATGTGAATGGCATTGTCCACAAAGAGTTCGTTCCGCCAGGACAAACAGTGAACCAACATTTTTACCTGGATGTGTTACGAAGATTACGAGAGAGAGTGCGACGAAAACGGTCCGAAATGTGGAGAAATGGGAACTGGTTGCTTCACCACGACAATGCTCCAGCCCACACAGCTTTGATGGTCCGACAGTTTTTGACAAGCAACAACATGGTGATAGTGCCTCATCCACCTTACTCACCCGACCTGGCTCCGTCGGACTTTTTTTTGTTTCCACGGATGAAGAGAAGTCTGAAAGGAAAGCGATTCCGTGATGTGGATGAAGTCAAAGAAAACACGCTAAAGGCTTTGAACAGTATCCAGCCTCAAGAATTCCAGCACTGTTTTGAGCAGTGGCAAAAGCATTGGGACAAGTGCATTAATGCACATGGACAATACTTTGAAGGGGACTAATATACAGTTCAATAAAAATGCAAAAATAAAAAATAAGAAAAATAAATTCCCGTTATTTTTGGATCCCCCCTCGTACATCCACTCCACCTTTTAGTTTTATCATCCCATTTATGTCTAGATCATCTAAGAGATTTCTTCCCTGTAGGTCCAACTCTCACCTGTATATTACCTCCCCTACCCCTATCTCACCATCCTTAATTTGATCATAATTCTTGAAAAAAGTATGAATCAGTTTCTCCACCCTCATGTCACTCCGTCCCTCCCAGCTCCGAACATTCTCCTTAGTACCCTGTTCTCATATGTGCTCAATCTACCAAGATTACTATCTTCTGGGCTGTGACGTATACGTAGATCATACTGAAAGTCACGAGCAACTTTTTTTGCATGCATGGGAACAGCGGACAAAAGAGAGTACGGTGGTAGGTGGAACCAGCTGTTGTGTTAACCTTGAGTGTCTTCTGACGTCAATAGCTTGTGTTAAAAATAGAGTTTCCTGTAGAAATTTGTTTCGTGAATTAAAGATTTTAACTGTTACGTCCTTATATATTTTTGAGACCCTGTGTTTTATAATAAAAAATAAGATTTATACCACCCAGTATTCTAATGTTCATGGCTATAACACTATTCATAAACACAATTTGTATGTACAATTTTGTAATACTGAGCATAGCAAGAGAGGGGTGATTAGTATGGGAACCAAAATATGGCCTTCCAACTGAATTAAAGAATGTAATAAATTTTAATGTTTTTAAGAAGGAACTTAAAAATTGTTTGTTGTGTAATGTCTTCTATTCTCTTCAAGAATTTTTTAATAATTTTTGACACGGACTGCTTGTTGATACATCTGTCTGTATATTTTTATGCCTTTTTTGGAGTATTTATTATTATTAATTGTTGACATAAACTGCTTGTTAATAAATCTGTCTATATGTTTAAAATACTTATTCTTATGTCTCTTTTTGGAGTATTTATTATTCTTAAATTAAGTTAAAAATGTATTTTGAGATGTATTGCTGTATTATAGTGATGAATCACTGTGTGAATGTTGTGTTGTTTTTTACTTGTGTTATTTTTGATGTGAGGCTGTTGATATTTGGCATGTCCATTTATAGTTCTCTACAGCTATGGATAAAATAATAAAAAAAAATCACGTGACCAGTATCACTCCTAACATAATGGCTGACAATATGTTGTTTCGCCAGCGTGCTGTCATTGAATTTCTTGTGAAAGAGGAAATCCCTGCTGCAGAAATTCACCAGAGATTTCAGCATGCTTATGGAAGTGTGTGCATGGATGTGAGCAGTGTTCGAAGATGGGTGAAACATTTTAAAGATGGGAACACCAGCATTGAAGATGAGCCTCGGAGCGGTCGTCCTCGAACAGCCTGAACTGAATGCAACAAGGAGAGAGTGGATGAGTTCATTCAAGATGACAGGCGTGTGACTGTGGACACAATAGCCCGAAAACTTGGAATAAGGCACAGTGCAGTGCAGTAGAGGAGATGATTGAAAGCTTGGGCTATAAGAAAGTTTGTGCTTGTTGGGTCCTGTGGTTATTGACTGAAGACCACAAAGGTCAGCGAAAAGCCATCACCTGAGAACTGCTGTAGAGATATCGACATAAAGGCGATGATTTTTACCCTGTATTGTGATAGGTGACGAAAGCTGGTTTCACCATTTCAAGCCTGAAACGAAATGGCAGAGTATGGAATAGCACCATTTGCATTCTCCATCAAAAATGAAGGCGGCAAAGACAGTGCCATCAGCTGTGAAGGAGATGGGCACAGTCTCCTGGGATGCAGAGGGGTTTATTCTGGATGATTTCCTGGAACCTGGGCAAACCATCAATGCTGCTCGTTATGTCCAGACGCTAAACAAGGAATTCAGAAAGCAATGTGTCAGTGTCTTCGGATGGCTGGAACGGAATATTACAGAAGGGGAATTTTCAAACTCCCAGAACACTGGGAGAAATGTGTACAAATAAGTGGCGATTATGTGGAAAAATAAAGAAAGTCTGTAGATTGAGGTGGTGTATTTGGTTTGTCAATAATAAAGCATGTTACTTTACAAATAATTGTTGCTCATGACTTTCAGTACAACCCTCATAGTTTGGTAGGTACCACTAATCTTTCAAAGGAACCTACCTACTGCAGAACATGCATCTATACTCCCTGCTGTGAGAACCTCAAGTCTCACCCTCATCTTTCTACACGGTGAACAGCCAGTTTAATACCCGTACAAAAGTACAGTTTTTATCATTTTAAATATTTTAATCTATTTATAAGCAGGATGAAAACAAATTGTATCATGTCTTCTGGGACGTGACACCACGCAGTCCAGTAGATGTTCACCGACGCCTAGGAGAAACAACCAATAGGAGCAAAGGGAAGTTATAGTGGCACTGTGAGAACATCAAACTCAACAAATTATATCACAATAAAATAATTACTTTACTCATTTCACAAGCACGTGGCTGGAATACTGGACAGACTGAATATGACATTTTGTAGCAAGCAAAATACAAGGAACAGCAAAGAAACTCTGAAAAGAAAAGACTTTATGATCATTATTAACCTTTATTTTCCAATGAAATTACATATTTCATATTATACTTATTAGTAATTCAGATACTTAAATCGTATCCAGAAGTTGGATCTACATTTTCATCTACCAATTTTGAAGTATTGCTGAAGAGATTTTTGACCAGGAAACATCTTTATATAATCATTTTTTTTTTTTAGATTTTTTTGACAATTGTTATCGATCTTGGTAGTACTTCCACATTTTTCTATTTTTACGTATGTATGGGTTTTAAAAAACAATAAGTTGTGGAGAGACATTTTTACCAATGTTGCATTAATGGGCAAACCTTCACTACATAATTGCACCCTATGGTCGAAATTTGAACGTTCTTCCTGGTTTCTAGTAATTGACATGGAAAACCAAAGTTCAGAAATAACTAACCTATCATGTAACAACTAAAATGAATCAATTATATTTGCTGACATTTATATAAATTTGCATAAAGCAAATAAATTATTGCCAGCCCATGAAATGCCATGTCGTCCTCAATCTTGAAAAGTTAAGAACTGTGGACTAATCATAAAATCAATGAAAAACTAACAACAAGCCAACAAATGGTATCTCGGTACAGTCAAGGAAGCAGAGAACTGTAAGTGTTGAGAATTATTTAAAGACAACCAATGGTGAGTTCCACTCATAAGCAGAACCACAATGCTACATTTACATTTTATAAGTCATATGTATGTCTTTAAAGTTTAACAATTCAAATAAGAGGGGGAGAAAATGTCCTAAGAATGAAACAAGTGACTGAACCAGGCAGTAATGGAATTCAGCTGCATAGGAATGTCTTCCCTTTAAATTGTCATCTTGAGGTCATCACCATCAACGCTTGACCATGAGATTATGTTGGACGACTGTGTGGTTTTACGGTGAATGTGGGGAGATGTAAATTTATTCCTTCTTCACTTTGGATGCAGCCGGCTGGGCCTGAAGCACAGCCACAGCTTCTTCAACCTGCACAAAACAAACAGTGATCAACTTCAAACACTGCAAATACACAAACATCAAAACTTAACACATTAACATTTAATTGCTGCATGCTGCTTGAGAGAAGTAAACAGCTTCAGCAGGATGTGAACTCATAAAAGCCCACTGTGACATCCATTTGCATTTTATGTACTGCATAGTTAAGATAACGTGCAGGGGATTCTTCTATTCATTAGAAGTTCTCTGGGAGATATTGTGAGAAAAATGTGAAATACAGGAGATGCAAAATTCAACCCCAGTGCTTACACCGAACTTAACCCGCAACTGGAAAGCTCAGGAACCAATGCAGATGAAATATATGAACATTTCTTGCACAGAATCTATTCCATTTCTTCAAACTTGGATGTCTCCAGTCAAAGTAAGAGAGATGGAGGCAAAATTACAAATAACTGAGAGTGGTCACATCATAAAGAAGTGATAGTTCTTCAAGGGCTGTAGAAGCAAGGAGTAAGTTAAGTTGTTGGATCTGAGATCTATGGTTTCCTGAGATATATCATCATGTACTTGGGAAATGAACCAAACATTTCAGAGGAACATATCACGTTTATCTTCTTAGCAGGCCAAGCAAGAAACCCGAAGCAGCACACAGCTGTCCAGGCTTTCTCAAAACCACATGCTGTTACAACCCACAAGACCATATTCAAGTTGAGATGTTTCTGTGTCACAAATTCATTCGTTACCTTGGCCTTGAGGGACTCGTGATGTTCAAGCATGTGAAGAAGCTCGGAGTTGTCTGTCTGCAACAGCACATGGATGATCCCGAGGGCCAGGACCACGTCTGGATACATGCGAAGAATCAATGGGAACAGACTCTCACACAGCAGCACCGTTTTCTCCAGTGGTGGGGCAGCTGCCAACATTGATGCAGTCAAAGGTTCCTGCCCCTGAATGTGCACAGCCTGGAAAACATCATCTGAAATAGCATCAAGGACCAAAAGGGACTAGCCCAACACCAATGACCAGTTTTCTTTAATACAAATAGACATGCCTTAATTTCCTTAATGCATTTCATACCTTCACTTTACCCTTGGTTCAGGTAGTCCCTTTTAAGAATGTAAAATACTGTACAGAAGGGACGTCAAAGTCTCAGTTTTCAGGACCGGACAAAAAAAATTCAACCTGAATTTAACTTCTGATCCAGTCTCACACTTCATCAACTTTTGAGATAAGTGCGTCTGCAGTAATACACGAACTAGCTGATGCATCAGAATGACATGTGAAAACTTTTCATTATTAAGTTTGGCAAGAACTGATCACCTACCTTACTTTGATATGATGCAGACCACACAGAAAACAATGCACCCAACAATTCCTCTACTGTTGCATGTATATTTGTTGCTGGAGTAACATTTTTACCAAGCCCCTGTCGGGCAACAAAAAGGGGGATACACACTGACTAACACGGGGGATTTATGAAATATGTTACTGCGATGGGTTCAGACACCATGATATACATACCAAGTGTCACAAAGATTGATTCAGCCTTTCAAAAGTTTATGGGTGGGGACAAGCCAGCCAGACAGCAGGGCCACTGCATAAATCTACTAATATTTTTTTTTTCAAAATAAGGAAATCAGGCTAAAATAATGACATATAGAAAACTTTACATTATAAAGGACATCAAAAGAAAATGGCAGTAAACTTCAGTGATGTGGAGAAGATATAAGATTAATTTACAGTGAAAAAATTAGTCAAGTGGACAATATCCTCATTCTCAGAATTCTGTGAACTTGCCTGTACCTGTTGGACAGGGGGCTGCTGAAAAATTGGTATGGGCTGTGCTGGGTTCCGCATGTTTTCTCTCTTCGTGACGTTTATTACCCGATTATTTAGCTTCATCATCAATGTGGGCGGAAGCGGGAGAATTCCATGAAGCTTTGGTTGCTGTCCTGGACAAACAAATATACACACATACTTACAAAATACATATATAACAATTCTTGCCAGGTCCACCATTTGAAAATATTCACATGAAGATGTAATATAGTATTGGTCACCATTTAATGATCCTTGCCCCCACATGCATTTGACATGCCAGGCCCCAACATGGACCAAAACAAACTGCACTCATCAGATGTTCCATGTCAGCTCCTGATGCTCAAGAGTGCAGTTGCAGTCTTGTAGCATTCAGAATACACATCCAGCTGAACAGTTCTCATAAGTGTGCAATTGGCAATGTTCCAATGGGTACTGGTGGCCCTTTCCCCAGAGGTAAAGGGGCAGCGGCGTGAAGCTGAACACCAACTAGTGCCAAGGTCAAAAAAATGTGGATCTATACCTCCACCCCTCATGCGCCTTAATGGCATAGTGCTTAACTAGTTATGCACAAGGACAACTTCAGCCTAACTGGCAATGTTCCTGTTGGCCAATGCTGTTTCAAGTCAGAAATTACTGAAGTCACTGTCAGCGAATATAGATTCAAGGCACAAAGCCAAGCACTGACATGTGGAGTCATAAAATAAAAGACTGACTGACTGACTCTGTCGGTATTATAAAGACATCCACCTGAGTCCATTTAACCTCAACTAGTGAATTTTGCAAGATTCATATGCATTATAAAGGAATATCACAAATCATACATCAAAGATGCTTTTTCTGTAGTGTTAACATTAAAATGTGTGATAGAGGGAGTCAATAAACAAGTCACAAATGGAAGTAAAGCAGCTGTAATGAATGTAATAGGTTTTCTGTAGTTGTCGCCAGGTACCAGCACAGTCCGGCTTCATGAGAGTGTAGGTAGTAGACGTGCATGTGTATGTTCAGAGGCTGGTTTTGGTAGTCAAAATGGCAACTGTGCTTCATGTGTACTACTGAAGAGCAGAATTCTGTGATGTGATTTTTGTGGGCAAGAGGACTCAATGCAAAAAATATTCATAATGCAATGCTTCCTGTTTACAGTGGAAAACGTCTGTATCCTTGGTGGCAAATGTTTCGCTGATGACGAAGAGGTTGAAACGGAGGTGTGGAAGTGGGTGAGACAACAGTCAGAAGACTTCTATGTTGCGGGTTTCGACACACTGGTAAAGCGATGGGACAAATGTATCAATGTTGGTGAGGGATATGTCAAGAAATAAATGTTTTTTCCAGGTTTGAAAGTAACATGTTTTATGCTTCCTATCCATTTGTGACCTGGTTGCTGACTCTCCCTTGAATCTCAACTGTAAACCTGGCATTACAACATATATATATGGCATTAAATAAGCTCTGCTAGTGATGCTTCTCTGACCCTATATTTACTTATGACAAAAAGACAAAACAACCATATACAAGGAAACACCTATATAACAAAATCTCTGGGGAGGAATAGCCTTCCTTATCAAATATCAAGGTTTTCACTGAAGTGGGATTATATTATGTTATGCCAGGAAACTGTTATGTAATTCCATGTGGCACAGCCCTTGGGAAGCTGATCAGTCAGTCAATTCGTCACAAAATTCTCCAGTTTCTTCACCTCAAAAGAATCTTAAAGACGGCAGCCGAAAACCACATCATTCTACAACAGTTTTGTACCTGTAGTGGGCCTTGCTGACTGTGCATTTTGCATTTGAAATGGTCCTTGCATATGTGAGGAACCAGAGGCGCCGCCCTGGGCACTTGGGTGGGCCTGTGTTTGTGGAGTAGCAGGAATCTGAGAACGAACACAAGCCACATCAGTACACAGGATTGTATACACAATGATCAAAAATAAATATACTGCACTCTGAACTGAAAATAAAAAGCTTCAAGTTTTAAAATATAGAAAGAATGGAAAAACAAAGATAGCCAAAACAGGCGAATATCTGATACCAGATGGCAAACAATGGAAACCAAAAACATCACAAAACAATGACACTGGAATGATCATCAGTTATGAATTATTTAACTTCTGATCCATTCTCACACTTCATCAACTTTTGAGATAAGTGCATCTGCAGTAATACACGAACTAGCTGATGCATCAGAATGACATGTGAAAACTTTTCATTATTAAGTTTGGGAAGAACTGATCACCTACCTTACTTTGATAAGATGCAGACCACACAGAAAACAATGCACCCAACAATTCTTCTACTATTACATGTATATTTGTTGCTGGAGTAACATTTTTACCAAGCCCCTGTCAGGCAACAAAAAGGGGGATACACACAGACTAACATGAGGATTTATGAAATATGTTGCCGTGATGGGTTCAGACACGATGATATACATACCAAGTTTCATAAAGATTGATTCAGCCATTCAAACGTTTATGGGTGGGAACCAGCCAGCCAGACAGCAGGGCCACTGCATAAATCTACTAATATTTTTTTTCAAAATAAGGAAATCAGGCTAAAATAATGACATATAGAAAACTTTACATTATAAAGGACATCAAAAGAAAATGGCAGTAAACTTCAGTGATGTGGAGAAGATATAAGATTAATTTACAGTGAAAAAATCAGTCAAGTGGACAATATCCTCATTCTCAGAATTTTGTGAACTTGTCTGTACCTGTTGGACAGGGGGCTGCTGAACAACTGGTATGGGCTGTGGTGGGTTGCTCATGTTTGCTATTAGGCGTCTCCGAGGCCCCTGTGCTGGACCGTAGAACCTCTGAAGCTGAGGCGATGTTGGTGCGGAGTAGCCGCCTGCACCACAAGACTGGGACATTTCCTACGGAACGAACACAAGCCACATCAGTATGCATGATTGTATACACAATGATCAAAAATAAATATACTGCACTCTGAACCGAAAATAAAAAGCTTCAAGTCTTAAAATATAGAAAGAATGGAAAAACAAAGATAGCCAAAACAGGCAAATACCTGATACCAGATGGCAAACAATGGAAACCAAAAACATCACAAAACAATGTAAATTAAGACACTGGAATGATCATCAGTTATGAATTAAGATAAATTTAAGGTCTTCCTTGAGCTTAATTAATAAGCACTATGTCATGAAGACATATGGGGGAGTGAAGGCAGAGCCCTGTCATTCTTAACATCAGCACTAAATGGAGACAAATGGCCAGTTTCATGCCCCAGGAAATAGTGCCCTGTACCCAGTGGACAGGAGCCTGGGTGGGACCAAAGCCAGTCTAGACACTGTGGAGGAGATAAAAATCTCTTTCCCCTGCCAGGAATGAAACTCCAACAACTCAGCTGTCCCGTCCACAGCGTGCTTCTATAGTGAAGTACCCCGACCGCTACAAGAACAGATGCAGCTTCCATTTTCATAATAACATGCAGACTATGAAATGGGAGCTGAAAGAGGGGAGGAAGAACAGTAATGAACCTCGTCTTGTTCCTCCTCCAACATCTCCAAAATTATGAAGAAAGAAAGCATGAATTCTAAATTACAGGACCGGAATGAGAAAAAGTTAAAGATACAAAACCCTATTTTGATTTGTCTCATTCTGGTCGGTCACACTATTAATTACAGAGTGGATAATGTTCAGTCCAGTGTGACATACAAGGTTACAACACTACAGTCCTCATTCACCTTCCATGTTTCGATTCAGAAGAATCATCCTCAGAGGCGCACCACTACGATCAGGAAACACTGTCACATAAGATATTAACAATATGGACTTAAGCTATGAATAATGCTCACTATATAAATTTTGTTATTATCACGGTTGTCTTAGGCACTCACAATGGCGCTTCTTGAAGTGTAGATTTACATATGATGATGTTTCTTTTAAATGTATTTCCTGGTAATTCTGACTGGGGGTTTCCACTGCACATGATATGATGTTCACTTTTCCATACAGTAGCCTCCCAAGGCATTTAAAATTGTATTAAATCTTCATGTAAAAAATTAATTATGTTAAAATATCATGAGCCGACATTGGGTCATGTTGTTTTCCTCCTGATGATGGAAGATATCGTTTATTTCTCTTGATTTTATGTTCTGTAAATATATTATTTTTTTTATTTATTCTATCTTATGTAGTTATATATAATGCTTTTGGGTTTATTAACATGTATAGTTAGGCCTTACCTTATTATTACTAGTGTAGTTTACGTGCATGCTGTGTCGTTTGTACTGTTTTGAATAGTGCTGTGTCTTGTATTATATTCTTCCTGTGTTTATGACATTGAAGAGGGTGTGTTCAAGTGATGTATAATAAGGTCAAACATGTTGTTTTGATTGTTTGTTTCTGTTCATCTATCAATTTGTTGTGTTTGTTGTAGTAGTATATTAGCTTTTTCGATGATTTCCATGACCATTGATATTGGACCGTATTGATGACGATTGTTTAGTATGTGTTGGCCGTAAGCGAATTCATCTCTATTTAATCTTATGTTCCTTATGTGTCTGCTATATCATGTTGATAATTTCCTTCCTGTTTGGCCTGTGTATACTTGATGGCAACTTTGGCAAGTTAATTTGTATATACCACTTTGCTCATATGGGTTTGTGTTGTGTTTTTCTTGTAGTGCTCTGCCTATTGTGTGGTTTGTTTTAAATGCTATCTTAATATTAGTGTTTTTAAATAGTTTTGTAATTTTCCATATGTGTAGGTTACCCATTTTTGGTCATTTTTACCTTTGTCTTTAGGGTTACTTGTTTTTTGTTTTAGTCTATTATATATTTGTGAGATATCATCTTTTTTATATCCGTTGTTTAGTGCAATATTAATGCTGGTGTTAACTCTTTATTTTTAGCCGTTTCTTCAAGTGGTAATGTGAGTAGTCTATGTATCCAGTTTTATATGCTGCTACTTTTTGTTCTCTAGGATGGCAAGATTTATTATTTATTGTTACGTCTGATGCTGTGGGTTTTCTATATATTTCCATTTTTATTTGACCCTGTTTGTTTGTTATATTTAAGTCTAGAAGTTATTTGGTTGTTTACTTCTTCGTTTAATGTGAAGTGTAGGTTTTTATTTTGCGTGTTAAAATGTTTGAGGATATCCTGTGATGTTATTTTAGTTTGATTATAGATTATGATAATGTCATCAACATATCTATTATAGTATCTATAATATCTATTATAGTAGACTTAAATCTAACCAACAGACAAGTTCAAATAAAAATGGAAATATATAGAAAACCCACAGCAACAGATGTAACAATAAATAATAAATCTTGCCATCCTAGCACTTTGCGGACCACGCACCCTTTAAAAGGTTTTTTGCTTTCAAACATGGCGGACCGTTCGCGTGTTAACAGGATTTTAAAACACGATAAGTTGCAACACACTATACAGCTCTCTGGCTCCTCCTAGCTAGCACGTAGCTGCTTGCACCTGCGTTATAAGGCTCTGGAATGTCTGCTGACCAATCAGTTACTAGACCTCACTGTAACTCTATGCACCTGCAAAGGAAAATAAATGCCTTTATTTCTTCAAGCTTTACGTAGCAAGCTGTCAGTCAGTAGTTCAAGACACCCAAACGATTTCTTGGAGAACAAGAAATATCTGACTTCTTCTCCGATGAGCTATCTGACGTCCCTTGTGAGTCTGCTAGTGATAGCGACTCACAATCTGATAGTGAGTGTGGCAGGGGCGAACAAAAAATTGTGACCACAGACAGTGAAAGTGAAAGTGACCATAGCTCCGACAAATGTGCGGGTAGCAACATTGCGGGGACAGCCACATGGGGAAAAGTAGACAAAACGCCTGCTTTGGGACAGTTTACTGGAAATCCAGGGGTGAAGCAAATTCCATCGGACCCAACGCAAGTGTCTGAAGTAGCGGCACTGTTTTTTGGAGATAGTTTCTTTGTCATGCTATGTCAGGAAACTAACAGATACCGTCTCCAACACCGTGATCATTATGACAGAAATTATGAGGCGTTGAAGTAGGTGGATGTGACTTCAGCAGAAATGAGAATTTTTTTTGCAATTATCTTTCAAATGGGCCATACAAGGAGGGATAATCTGAAGGAGTATTGATCAACAGATCCATTTTTGAAATTCCAATTTTCGGCAAACTAATGAGCCATAAGAGGTTTGAGCAAATTTGGTGGTGTTTGCATTTCAATGATAATGAACTGCAACCACAATCAACAAGCAGGTTTTTCAAAATTCAGCCCTTATTGAACTTTTTCGTTCAGAAATTTCAGACAGTTTATAAGCCAAACCAACAACTGTCTCTGGACGAATCTGTGATTCCTTGGAGGGGAAGGCTTCGTATGTGAATATATAATCCTGGGAAACTTACAAAGTATGGCCTACTTGTTTGTGTAGTTACTGAAAGCACTTCAGGCTACATTGGAAATTTAGAAATTTATTCTGGTGAAGGAAAGAAATTACAAGAAACAATTCTTTCCGTTTTGGAACCCTATCTTGATCAAAATTACCATGTCTATCAAGACAATTATTACAACATTGAGGCAACTGCAGAACACCTATTTTTGAGAAAAGTACGTGTTTGTGGAACAATTAAGGTGAACAGAGGCCTTCCTCCAGATCTGAAAGAGGAATGTAAATCCCTGAAACATGGTGAAACCGCATTCAGGAGGAAGGGGAATATTCTTCTGCAGTCCTGGAGGGATACTCGTGTTGTGAATATGATTTCCACAATTCACAATTCGAGCATGGTTGATGTTCAAAGGAGACATGGACAAGTAAAGAAGCCTGTTTGTATTTCCGAGTATAATATTGTGACATGTTGAGCTATGGATCACCCCTACCTCCCCAGCGGTACGTGGCGGTAACGTAGCGCTCGCATTACTACGGTAATAGGCGAGTTCCCGCCCCGCCACTCCCCTCCGCGGTGACGTCACCAAGGGATATCGCGGTTGCTAGGCAGCAGTCAACAACTCCGGACAGCGTTGCTAGGATATACGCAAACACGGTGACGCGTCACCGCTTCCTACTGTGACGTGGCAACAGGCACCACTGCGGCTATATAAGGGAACTGCACAGCAGCTACGAGTTAGTTGTTATGTGGCTACGGCAGAGTTGGAACGTAACCGTCGCCGAGTCGAGTTGTAATGTGGCAGTCGTCAGTGCGTTATCAACAGTTCTCCAGTCAGCCGACTACCGTTGGAGTATAGCAGCCGTCGCGGAAAGAAGAACCGACGTGTGTGTAATTGTGTAATTGGGAGTGTGTGTGATACAGTGATACATAGCTCCCCTACTGTAAACGTGTAGACTACTGAACACAGAGTGAGCTGATTTGCGCATAGGGTTATAAAGTGTGAAACCCCCAACAGCGGTAACAGATTAATGCGATTAGGGTTATAAAGTGTGAAACCCCGCAACTGTGTGATAATTAATTGTAGCCGTTTCTTGTAGATTGTTGAATAAACCAGTTAACAATCCGAACGGCGTCTTCAGTAACGTAAA